TTAGGCTATTGGAGAGTTAATATTTTAGTTGATCCTAAAATTGCCACCAATTAAAAAAAACCTGAAATTTACCTCCATAAAACCCTCAATTAGGATACGTTTAAGAATCTACTCAGTACTCAGATCATTTTGCTTTGATTTAAAAAAGCAATCCCTGATATAGAAAAGAAGATATATTTCTGAAAAAATTAAATAATTAATAATGTAATTTTTTTCTTTATTTTGAGACAAAGTCTTGCTCTGTTGCCCAGAAGGCTGGAGTGCAGTGTGTGACCTCGGCTTACTAACACCTCTACTTCCTGGATTCAAGTGATTATTGTGTCTCAGCCACTTGAGCAGCTGGGATTATAGGTGTGCACCACCACGCCCAGCTAATTTTTGTGTTTTTAGTAGAGATGGGGTCTCACCATGTTGACCAGGCTGGTTTCAAACTCCTGAGCTCAAGTGATCCACCCAGCTCACCCTCCCAAAGTGCTGGGATTACAGACGTGAACCACTGTGTCCAGCCTAACAGTGTAAATTTTAAACATTCAGATGCTAATCTTTAGCTAAAGCTGCTGAATGAATTCTAAAAGATTAAAAACCTTGAATGACTCTCCCAAATACAATACAGGGAGATATTAACAAAAAAAAACTTCCATCATTATATTCTGATAAATTTATTATTTATCAATTTGTAAAGTGAAAAAGCTACACTACTCAGTGAATTCCATAATTTTATTATATTTACTGTTCTCTATTCATAAGAGAAAAGAACAATAGTACTCCCTTTTCCTAAAGTTTCTTCCTAGAAAAGGAAGGCAGTCACAGAGCATTCGGAACAGATCAGTGCCATTTGGTATTAGAGGTCTTGAGTTTAGCTTCTCATTGCACAGAGTGAGGGAACCTGGCATTGAGTCAAGTTATTCCTCCTCTCCCTTCAATACAAGATGTATTAAATAGTGCATAAATAAGCACGTCAAGCAAAACCTATTTATTGTCACAGGAAGTCATTTGGTCGACAGCTTGTCAGAGACTAGAAAATTTACATCTTTCTCAAACACTTTTTTCTTCCTAACAGGTGGATACATTTAAGACAAATATGTAACATAGCTTGATGTTATTAAAGGTAACTCTGGGCTTCCTGCATCTGAGGCTTAATGGAAAGTAAGAAAATGAATTTCAAATTGTGATATAGCTTTGACACAAAGTAAGTTTGTCTTTTAACTTTAGTTGAATTTTTATCATTTCATGAGGTATATTCATGCCTTTATCTTCATTCCTACAAAATAGAGAAATTCAGCATTCATTAAACTTGTTAAAACCACAGAAAGAAATAAAGATATCTGGATGAGTGATTCTCACCTTTATTTTTCATGTATTTGGCTGTCCCACTTCCCTGCCCTGACCCAGGAAGGAAGCAGAAGGAAAGGACTCAGCTCAGGCGGACACTTTACCGGAGCAGGACTTTGGGGAAAGTCTCCGTCTTTAGAAAAAACCAGCAAGTTAGCTGCGTTTCATGCTCTTGCCCTACAGTAAGTGTAGTTGAGCAAGCACAGACACCCACAATAAATGCAGAAAGCAATCAGGGATGATGTAAGAGCATCGAAGATTTTGTCATTCCAACAGTTTGAAAATCATGGCTTTAAAATAATCTAAATGTAAAAGCCTGACACAAACCCACACAAACCCCCAAATCAGCTTTGAGCTGCGAAGCACTGACTGCGTGCTGGCAGCTGTGCCAAAGTCAAAACCCAGTGGTAACCCCTAAGACATTCGGTATGAGACGTGATTATTATGATTTTTATTAGAAATAGTAGTAGCAGAAATGGTTGTGGATTTGGGATAATCCATCAACAGCTATTTACAGAGTCCAGGTTTACACATACATACAGAAAATCTCCCCCAGTTTAGCAGGAATTAAAGGTAATTTCCTATCAGAGAACCATGCTTGTTCTTGACTCAAAAGCATCATGCTCTAACCAGCAAGGTGACTGGGCACTCAAGAGCATCCGCGATTTCCCATTTCCTAACAAATTAAATGTCAAGTTCTTAACCTGTGTTGTGGGCTGACCTAAGTCACTTTGGCTTTTCACAGTTACTAGTTTTTTTGGGAGGAATGGGGAGATAATCAGTTTCCAATAGACATCTATCATGACTAGGTGGAATAAAATCAAGTCTCAGACCTAAGTGTGCCAAGCACACGCGTGCACACACGTGTGCACACACGCAACCTGTCACGCACAAGATCTGTTGTCTTTTGATCAATGATATCGCAAATATTTATTCCCTTTTAGCCTTCCAACCATTACCTTGCATATAAGCTTACATAGGGCAAGTGGAGCAATATTCCAGTTCCAGAAAGGCAGAACGTGGCCATGGACTCAGGTGACTTTCTCAGTGGACTCAGGTGACAGAAAGGCGGGGTGGCATGGTGCCTTCAGCCAAGGCTGTGCTCAGAGGAGCAGAGGTGTCTGAGCTTGCTCATCACTCTTGCCCTGTTGGTGCAAGGAGGGACGTGTTTTAAAATTTCCCAATTAACATATCTCTAAAGAGGCACATTCCACTAATGAAAAAATGTTCCTACGTTTCTTTATGTCACAGAAGAAGAAATGAGTAGCTCTGATCAAGACAAAAGATAATGGAACTGCTTGGCATCATTCTCTTTGGAGACTGGAATCCTCACTGGAGCCCTTTACTTGCCAATTAACCTCCTGGTATCCTGGATGTTTCCTCAGGTTTCAGATAGTGTATGATGTGTCTTACGGGGTACAACACAGCTAAGATCTTCTTACAACACACAGTCTGTGCTGAAGTTGTGTGTTGTTTTCTTTCTGATCAAAGAACATGGTTTTCTTCACGCGACTTCCCCCGACTTCTCCCCTGAGTCCTCCCGTCAAATAACTCTCTCGAGTTGAACATCCCGCGCCAGCAACAGTGCTCCTTTCTCCGAAAAAATCCATTCCTCCCCGTCTCTATTCAAAATACATAATTCATCCTAGAAAGCTCACCTTTGAAACAAATGTTCTTAACGCCTTCATTTACTATACATGTGACCACGTTTGTGAACATACGTCTGCACATTTGATAGCAAACGTACTGAACATTTGATAATGCATTCCATTAATTCAGTTATTAAACAAAGACCATGTGCTGAATAACGGGACCAGCTTTGTGCTTCTCCCCGGATCCAGGCAGCCTGTGAGTGTCCCAGGAAACCAGGGAACACAGTGCGATGGGCACTCCAGCAGAGAAGTGCAGGGCAATTTGCTGCCAATGCAGCCTGCAGAAGGGGACTTCTAAGTTTGCTTGGTAGAATCTTGAAGGCTTTTCTAAAAAATACTGCTTGAGGTGAGATTAACGAATAAATAGAAGCTGTTCTGTTTTAAAAGGCAAAAGCAAAGAAACATGAGAGCAAAATCTGACCTTCCGAGAACAGACGCAGGATTTTTTTCATGGCTGCCACTGCAAATCGGTGCACCATAGTAAGAATTTCAAATCGTGGATTGGAGACTGTGGCAGACACTGAAATTGGAAACGAGGGGATGATTTCGGATAACCGTTTTGGAAAGATCACCCTACTGACATGCGGAAGATGGATTGGGGAAGGCGCAGCTGGACAGGGTGCAGTGAGAATCACTGATGGTTCACATGAGGAACAAGGGTGGCTGGAATGAAGGAGGGGCAACGTGGACAGATGGAGCAGAAACAGGACCAAGCATCAGATTTACTCGGAAAGCATTAGCAGTATGACTGGAGGGAAACACAAGAGATAGAAAGAGGTGACAGGTAAGATGGCCATCAGGCCAGCCAGGCAGATATCTGGGCCAAAATCAGAGCAGAAAGGCAGGAACAACATCTCAGAAAGCAGGAGAAGCATCTCACGGTAGAGAAGAGAACTCCCTGACCCCACGGTAGAAGGACTGAATCCGAAGAAGAAATGGGATGTCTAAAAGGACGGTTTATCTGAAATCCTGGAGTGCATGAGAAAACACCAGATAAAAATATCAATTTGAAGTCGTCATTATAAAGCAGTAGGTGAAAGAACGAACAGGAACAAGGGCACCTCCGATAGAAAGAAAAGGTCTCGTCCTCAACTCTAGGAAAGGGAGCTATTCTAGAGGTGGCTGCAGAAAAATAAATCCATGGAAGTGGCAGGCGGGAGCAGTCAGGGAATACGTGAAGCAAGAGAAACCGAGGCAATGAGAAGAGAGAAAAGCATCTCCAGACAAGAAGTGGCCACACTGTCAGCTTCTCCAAGAGAGTAAGTAAAGCAGGAAGAAGGGGGAAAAAGAAAGGTAATCCCCTGGAATGGGCCCTAGACACTCAGAGGTGAGCACGATGCAGCTGGAAAGCACTGGGACGGACGCAGGTAAGAGTCATGCCGACGATGCCTTTATTCTGTCTTTTGTCAAAGCCATTTTGTTCTTTTCTTACCCCTCCTATCCTGGTCCACTGTGTTGATACAAAGGAACGCCCAAGGCTGGACCATCTATATCTATATTAAAAAGGGGCGTGCATTCGGCTCACAGTTCTGCAGGCTGTGCAGGAGCGTGGCACCAGCATCTGCTTCAGGTGAGGCCCTCAGGGAGCTTCCAGTCATGAAAGGAGGCAAATGGGGAGCAGGCATGTCACATGGTAAGAAGGGAGCAGGAGGGAGAGAGGAGGGTGGCAGGCCCTTTAACCGCCAGCTCTAGTTTAATAGAGCAAGGACTCGTGACCAAGAGAAGGGCACCAAGCCATTCGTGAGGCATTCACCGCCCACCGGCCACCACCACCCATCCGGCCCCACCTCCAGCACTGGGGATCACATTTCAACATGAGATTTGGAGGGAATAAACATACAAACACTATCACCCCACTACGATGTCGTAATGTGACTGGATTGTGCCCTCCACTTCATGTGTGGAGACCCTAACCCTCAGGACAACTGTTTTTGGAGACAAGGCCTTCAGCAGATAACAAGGCTAGATGAAGTCGTAATGGCAGGACTCTCATCTATAGAAGGTGCCCCCACCCCCTTTTTGAGATGGAGTTTCACTCCGTTGCCTATGCCGGAGTGCAGCGGTGCGGTCTCACTCATTGCAACCTCTGTGATTCTCCTACCTCAGCCCCCCGAGTCACGGGGATTACAGGTGCCTGCCGCCACGCCCAGCTCATTGTTGTATTTTTAGTAGGGACAGGGTTGCACCAGGTTGGCTAGTCTTGAACCCCTGACCTTGTGATATGCCTGCCTCGGACTGCCAAAGTGTTGGGATTATAGGCCTGAACCACCGTGCCTGGCCCGGTGCCCTTTTAAGAACAAGAAGAGGGAGAGAGTCTCACTCTAGGAACACAGGGGAGGTGACGTCAGTACACAGTGAAATGCTGGCTTCACACTGGGCAGGAGAAGAAGGCACGGAAGCCACGCTCCCTTGCCAGCCAGACTCCAGAACTGTGAGAAATCAATTTCTGTTGTGTAGCTGCCTGGTCCACAGTAGCTGATGTGGCAGCCCTGGGAGACTGGTACACGTGGTTTCCCCTAAGGCAGCTAGAGCTACACATTTTAAAAAACTCTTTGACTTATTTTGATCTTGCATATAATATTCAAAATAATAAATCTGTAAAAGTCCAAATGGTAAGTTCTTCTAGAAAAAGCATCTTCCTATATATAAAACCCATGAATTTATTTCCTGGGGGGGGAAATATGAAGAAAAGTTTCCTATCCATGACAGAGCTGCTCGTATATTCTGCATTTCTATAGGAAGAAGAGGAGACTAATATACCGGAGTGCTTGTGATCCCAGGTGTTTCTTGTTTATGAGAACAAGGCATTTTAAATTCTTCCATTGTGGGTTTCATAACCTCAGGGATACACAGGAATCTCAAATGTCAGCGGCTTGCCTGGAAGAGAGAGCCATCGCAATAGGAGGAGACAGCAATGGCCCCAGGGACAATTTTGGCAGAGAGAAGAAAACCAGGGTGCCAAGGCAATCTTGATTGTTGCCTGTTACACTCAGCACACTTTCTTTTTGACTCATATGGGCTTTGGCTCCTAGAAGCACACCAAAAAAAAAAAAAAATCAACAACAATAAAGTCCCAACCTTTTCATGACCAAATTCCGGTGCATGAACAGCACTGTGGCACCAGACAGCTTATAATTCAGGACCAGGAAATAATCAAGCGTGCACAGTTTGCAGCGACTCTTCCAACAGCCGTTTGGAGCCTTTCTTCCACTTTCTGCACGACGCTGCTCTTGTGATCTTGGCCTCTGGGCCAAAATGAGAATACACTACAGTGACTCTGGACCTGCAGGGGATAAATAATTAATTCCAAACTCAGCCAGAAGCCAGTCCTACTAACTTCAGTTGACAAAACGTGACTATTACCCGGACTCCAATGCTGAGTACACACACTGGGAAAGAGCCCTGGAGTGTCATGATATTTGCGATATCTGTGAACCACGATCTCCTTTTAATACAGTTTCTGTCCTCAGTTTTCCCCAGTGATAGTCTAGCGAGTAGAAGCAGCCTGAGAGAATCTGCCATTCTCTTTGCTTCTTGTTGTTGTTGTTCTTCCTGTACTATGGCGTGATTTATTCCGTTGGTATCATATTCTTTACTATTCCTAAAATCAGGGGACCTGTTTAAGGTGTACTAAATGTTCACATTTGGAAGCAATTTAGAAGCTTCTTCCTTAAAACCGATTTATAACTCAGATATCTGTACTTATCCCCAGAAATTCCACTGCATTCATGATACAGTTTGGCTCTGTGTCCCCACCCAAATCTCACCTTGAACTGTAGTTCCCATAATCCCCATGTGTCATGGGAGGGACCACTGGGACGTAATTGGATCATGGGGGCAGTTGCCCTCATGCTGTTCTCGTGATAGTGAGTGCTCATGGGATCTGATGGCTTTACAAGGGTCTTTTCCTCCTTTTCTTCGGCACTTCCTGCTGCCAGCATGTGAAGAAGAAGGTGTTTGCTTCCCTTTCTGCCATGACTGGAAGTTTCCTGAGGCCTCCCCAGCCCTGCAGCACTGTCAATTAAAACTTTTCTCTTTATAAATTACCCAATCTCAGATGTTTCTTCATAGCAATATGTGAACAACAGACTAACGCAATGTATAAAACTGATAAAACAAGCAAGTCAATGCAAAAAGCCTAGTCAAAGCAGGCAAATGAGAATTCCTACTTTAAAACTTCAAAACCAGGTACTTCGATCATTCATTTACAATTTTATTTTCCTATTTTATGCTAAACATGGTGATTTGTATTAAGAAAAGAGTCAAAAACGAATCTCTCTGTTGAGATGAACAGAGAGAGAGAGGGTGTATGTTTGCTCAATGAGTAGCTTAGATGACATCCCCCATAGCTTAGACTACATCTATATAGGTCAAGGGCATACAGAAATATGTATACTTACATTTTCTCTTGTTTTTTCAAATTTATAAATTGTGTCTGTTCTTTTGTTTTGTTTTTACGCTTTTATTTTAGACAGACCGGGTACATGTGAAGATTCATTAGAGGGAATATTGTGTGATGCTGCAGTTTGGAGTATGTATTCCATCACACTGACAGTGAGCATTGCAGCTGACAGGTAGTGTTCAACCTACCTCTCTGAAACCTTCTAGTAGTCCACAGTGTCTTTTGCTTCCAGATTCAAGTCCATGTGTGCTCAATGTTTAGCTACCACTTTTAAGTTAGAACATATAGTATTTGGTTTTCTCTTTCTGTGTTAGTTTACTTAGAATTATGCCCTCCAGCTTCATCCATCCTGCAACAAGGACATCACTTAATTATTTTTATGGCTATGCAGTATTCCTTTGCGTATATGTACCACATTTTCTTTATCCGATTTACCATTGATGGACATCTGGGTTGATTCCATTGGCTATTGTGAATAGCTTGACAATGAACATATGCATGCATGTGTCTTTTTTTTTTTAATTATTTTCCTTTGGATAATGGAATTACTAGGTCAAATAGTAGTTGTAACTTCTTTAAGAAATCTCCACACCAAGAAAAGCTCCACATGGTTGCTTTCCATGGTGGTTGAGCTGATTTAAATTCCCAGAAACGATGTACAAACATTCCCTTTTTCTCAGCCTAATCACCTGATTTTGTTGCTGTTGTTGTTTTGGACTTTTTAACAATAACCATTCTGACTGGTATGAGATGGTATCTCACTGTGGCTTTCATTTGCATTTATCTGATGAGTAGTTATGCTTAGAAGTTTTTCATATGTTTGTTGGTCACTTGTATGTCTTCTTTTGAGAAGTGTCTGTCCATGTCATTTGCCATTTTTAAATGGGGTTATTTGTTTTTTGATATTGATTTGTTGAAGTTACTTATAAATTCTAGATATTAGGCCTTGTCAGATGCACAGTTTGTGAATATCTTCTCCTGTTATGTAGGGTGCCTCTTTGCTCTATGAATAGTGTATTTTGCTGTGCAGTAGCTCTTTAGTTTAGTTAGGGTCAATTTATCTATTTTTGTTTTGCAATTGCTTTTGGAGATTTAGCTAAAAATTCCTTACCAAGGCCAATGTCAAGAAGGGTATTTCTTAGGTTTACATCTAGGATTTTTGTAGTTTGAGGTCCTACATTTAAATGTTTAATCCATTTTGAGTCAGTTTTTATATATGGTGAAGGGTAAGAGATCACTTTCAATCTTCTGCATATTAGCCAATTAGCCCAGCACCATTTATTAAATAGGGAATTCTCTTCCTGTTGCTTGCTATTGTTGAACTTGTTGAAGATCAGATGATTGTTGGTGTGTGGTTTGATTTCTGAAATTTTATTTTGTTCTATTGGTCTAATGTGTCTATTTTTGCACCAGTTCTAAACTCTTTTGGTTAATGTGGCCTTATAGTATAGCTCACAGTTGGGTAGTGTGATTCTTCCAGCCTTATTTGTTTTGCTTAGGATGACTTTGGCTATTCAGCCTTTTTTTTTTAATCTATATGAATTTTAGAATAGTATTTTTTTATTGCTGTGAAGAATGTCATTGGTAGATTGATAAAAATACTATTGAATCTAAATTGCTTTGGGCAATATGGCCATTTTTATGATATTGATTCTGTAATGCATGCACATAAACTGTTTTTTTCATTTATTTCTATTATCTTTGATTTCTTTCAGCAGTGTTTTGTAATTATCTTTATAGAGATTTTTCACCTCCTTTATTAGCTGTATTTCTAGGTATTTCATTTTCTTCATGGCCATTGTAAGTGGGATTATGCCCTTTATTTCATTCTCTGCATGAACCTTGTTGTTGTATAGAAATGCTACTGAGTTTTGTATATTGATTTTGTATCCTGAAACTTTACTGAAGTCATTTATCTTGGGAGCCCTTTGGCAGAGTCTTAAGGATTTTCTATGTATAGAATCATACCAGCAAAAAAAAAAATTGTTTACTTTTTTTCCTATCGGAGATCTTTTCCTTATTTCTCTTGCCTAAATACTGTGCCTGGTATTTCCACTACTATGTTGAATAGGAGTGGTGAGAGTGGGCATCCTTTTCTTATTGCAGTTTTCAAAGAGAATAGTTCAGACTTTTGCTCATTCAGCATGATGTTGGCTGTGGGATTGTCATAAAAGACTAATATTTTGAGGTGTGCTCCTTTGATGCCTAGTCTGCTGAAGATTTTATCATAAATGGATGATGGACTTTACCAAAAGCTTTTTCTGCATCTAATGAGATGATCATATGGTTTTTGCTTTTGATTATGTTTGTTTGGTGAATCACATGTATTTATTTGCTTATGTTGAACCAGCCTTGCATCCCAGGAATGAAACCTACTTGATTGTGATGAACTGACTTTTTGATGAGCTGCTGGATTCAATTTGCTGTTGTGTTTGGGATTTTTGCAATGTTCACAAGGGATATTGGTCTAAAGTTTTCTATTTTAAGAATGTTTAGAATAGCTTATGCATAGTAGGCACTATTTTTTAAATAAAAATAAAATACTTATTTTAGAAAAAGTAATGGTTTAATATAAGTTGTGTGACCCTAAACCCTATGAATTGTGGTTAAAAAAAATCGACAAGACAGTGTGGCAATTCCCCAAGGATCTAGAAATAGAAATTCCATTTGATCCAGCAATCCAT